AAGTACAGTTAAACAAGGTATACCTGTATAAAACTGTGATTGCTTTATAAATACTGAATTTGAAAAAGTTAAACATTTTAAGTGTACAATTTTCTGGAGTTGTAAACAGTACTAACAAACATCTGGCAAAATGTTTTATTACTATGAATTTTCAGAAAGAACAGACATCAGTGACATTAAATAATGTATCTTATATAAGTAATCCAGATACAATTGAATCTGGTTTCTGCTTTTGATAAGAAACCCTTTGTATAAACCTCAGTTAAGAAAAATGCAAAAAAATGAGGCATGCCTGTACACAACTGTTAGCTGTGTCCTTAGTGAATGGCAGCAGGGGCGGCAGTGGGGTTGGGGGAAGGCAAGAGGAGCTAGTAAAGGGGAATAGTTGAAGATTTTTTTTTTTTTTTGAGATGGAGTCTTGCTCTGTTGCTCAGGCTGGAGTGCAGTGGCGTGATCTCAGCTCACTGCAACCTCCACCTTCTGGGTTCAAGCAATTCTCCTGCCTCAGCCTACCAAGTAGCTGGGATTACAGGTGCCCACCACCATGCACAGCTAATTTTTTGTATCTTTGGTAGAGACAGAGTTTCACCATATTGGCCAGGCTGGTCTCAAATTGCTGACCTTGTGATCCACCCGCCTCGGCCTTCCAAAGTGCTGGATTACAGGCATGAGCCACTGCACCCAGCCAAACTGCTTCAGTTCTAAAAATGAAAAAGGGTAGGGCAAGAGGTAACACAGTTATATGTCACCTATCCAGAACTCTTGAGAAATACACATTTCAGGAGCCACTTACAGAATTATTAAAAATCAAATCTGTTGTTAGTCAATATATTTGAGAGCCTACTGTTTGTTCAGCACTAAGCAATAACATTTTTAATTTTTTTTTTAACTTGGAGAGAAATTAATAAAATATTTTACATCTTTTTTTGAATATAGAGCACTAAAAATAGTTTAACCCAGCCTCTTCTTCCAACCGTTTTCACATCAGGGCATCAATAGCAAATGATTTTTTGTTGTTGTTGTTGTTTTTGTTTTGAGACGAAGTCTCGCTCTGTAGCCCAGGCTGGAGTGCAGTGGCCGGATCTCAGCTCACTGCAAGCTCCGCCTCCCGGGTCCATGCCATTCTCCTGCCTCAGCCTCCCAAGTAGCTGGGACTACAGGCACCCGCCACCACGCCCGGCTAATTTTTTGTATTTTTAGTAGAAATGGGATTTCACCTGGTGTTAGCCAGGATGGTCTCGATCTCCTGACCTCGTGACCCACCCACCCCGCCCCCCCAAAGTGCTGGGATTACAGGCTTGAGCCACAGTGCCCGGCCAGCAAATGATTATATTTTTAAAGCACAATTGGGTAAGCCATTATTAGATAAACCAGTGAACCAACCAGGTTGTTCCCCCAGCAGAGGGGACCAGCCTGGGAACTTCAGCCCTACCCAGTCATCTGAGAATGCTAACCAGATCAGTTTCTGGACCCACCTATAACTGCACACCGTAGGAAGTTCTCCTTTAACCTGTTGATGTGTTTACATTCATTAACAGTAGTTCCATACTACGCTGAAATAAAATGGTATTCTCAGAGATACAGATTTTAACCCTAAACTAATCAGTCTCCTGATCCCTAGTCCAATATGTCCTTTCTTCTCAACTAGACTGCCTCAGCTTGGGTAAGTTCCTAGTTCCCACCAAAAGTTAGGGCCAGATTTTGATGTTAAAGACTACTTAGCTAAATTGAGTGGATGTTAATATATGGGAGCCAATATTGATATTTTTTGAGGGAAGACATATACTTTATAATTTATAATTTTAATCTGATACTTTAAACTGGGACAAACCAAAGATATGGTCACTTTTTTATCCCTCCCAGACATATTGCATAACTTAATTTTTATAATGGATGTGAAATTTTCTAAACATTACAAAATCTTTTTTTAAAGAAAAAGGAAGCAGATATAAATTTAAAATTCTTCCAAAAAATTAAAAATAAAATTTAACTTGAAGGAAACATATAAAATAAAACTCAGGAAAGAAATTTATAATGGAAGTCATGAGACCAGCAAGTAGAGAATAGCAGTGATACTGGTAAGAAGAGAAAGCAACATATACTACATATGAAGCAAGCCAAACTTGATGATGCAGTATATATGAGGGAATTAATAATTAAAGCTGGCCAATATTTCTCATTGGACTAAAATAAGAATAGGCTTATAGAATAAAGAATTTAAGATAGCAAGCGAAATTTTGGAAATAGAATTTGGTGTTAGGAATAGTGAATGTTAAAGTGACACAAAGCTTTGTGTCAAGTTATCTGGCAAGAAAAGCAGGCCAGAAATTTAGATTTGATGAGCAGATATAAAAATGATAATTAAAAGCAGAGAGAATGATGAGTAAAGAATAAAATGTCATATATGCCTGAAAACAAAGTAAGTTTTGTTTTCTCCTAAAATTACCCATCAGAAAGGAGAGTGCTGCCTTATATTCAAATCACTAACACAGGGTGATCTCTCAGTTACTAATTTTCACTTGGAGAAGACATACTGGCCTGAAATAACCATTGTATTTTGGATGCAAATTCAGGCTACCAGGTAGAATTAAAATTTGGTCAAACAAGATGAGGCCTGAGAATTGACCCTTAAACTTTTAGCATTGTCGAGGTCATTCGTGATCTTGAAAGAGCAATTTATATGGGGTAATTAGGAAGAAAGACTTCTGGGAATAGGTTAAGTAAAGAACCGGAGGAAAGGAAGAGAAGGGAGACACATAGAAAACTCATGAAGAATTTTGTTACAACACTGTGCCAAGAAATGGGTAATAGAAGAGTATAAGGTCCAGGTACAGGTTCATTTATTTGGTTTTTGGGGGGTTTTTTGGTTTTTGTTTTTGTTTTTTGAAACAGAGTCTCGCTCTATCGCCCAGGCTGCAGTGCAATGGTGCGATATTGGCTCATCCGCCTCCCGAGTTCAAGCAATTCTCCTGCATCAGCCTCCTGAGTAGCTGGGATTACAGGCACCTGCCACCATGCTGGCTAATTTTTGTGTTTTTAGTAGAGACGGGGTTTTGCCATGTTGGCCAGGCTGGTCTCGAACTCCTGACCCCAGGTGGTCCACCCTCGGCCTCCCAAAGTGCTGGGATTATAGGCGTGAGCCACCATACCTGGACATTAATTACATTTTCATAAAATATGAAATCTCAGCTCATTCTGTTGGAATTGTAGATTTAGCTCATTCAATTTATGGGAAATGTATGCCATAAAATCCAATTGGCAAAGCCATTTCTCACTGTCAAACAGTCAACTCAAATTGACTTTTTGTCAGAAAAAGTTAGACTTTATATTTTGCTTGGTTTTCCAGAGACTTTTATACCCTAGGGCCATATACCTTAATAAGATCTGAAATAGATTGGAGAGATAATATCTTTATCTTGTAAAGTAGGAGAAAGTCAAGTCACTTTTAGAAAAGAGCTCATCTGGAGGTTGGGATCTGGAAATCAATTTTCTTTTTTTCTTTTTTATTTTTAGAGACAACTCTTGCTCTGTCACCTGGGCTGGAGTGCAGTGCTGCAACCATGGCTCACTGCAGCCTGCACCTCCTGGGCTCAAGCGGTCCTCACACCTCAGCCTCCTGAGTAACTGAGACTACAGTTACGCAGCACCACACCTGGCTAATTTTCGTAATTTCGTAGAGACAGGATCTCACTTTGTTGCCCAGGCTGGTCTCAAACTCCTGGGCTCAGGCAATTTTTCCCCCTCGACCTCCCAAAGTTCTGAGATTACAGGCATGAGCCACCTCGCCCATCCTGGAAATCAGTTTTCTTAAAGCTATACACACCTATCTACACCACAGAGAGTCTTAGATGACTCCAGAGGTAAATGTATGAATACCTGTGCTCTAGGACACATAGATGATTCCCAAAGTGGCACTGATAATGATGAATATATTGGTGTCAAATTGTGTCATGAGATGTGAGAATGAAGGTGGGAGAGGAGTCATTTTTTCTTAATATTTTATACAATATTATTTTAAACATATGTTCAATTAACTTCTCTAATAGATACTTGATTATTTCATTTATCTTTTTAGGATTGTATACATTCAAAATGTCACCTCCCCCAAAAAAGTGGTATAGTCTCATTAGGAAAAAGGAAGGATGGCCTTATTTTTGGCATAGATAGTATCATACTGTCACACTTGACTGTGTGTGAATCCATACTTTTCCCAAGATTAAGATCTTTAGGCCAGGAATGGTGGTTCATTCCTGTAATCCCAGCATTTTGAGAGCCCAAGGTGGGCGGATCACTTTGAGGCCAGGAGTTCAAGACCAGCCTGGCCAATATGGTGAAGCCCCATCTCTACTAAAAATGCAAAAATTAGCCAGGTGTGGTGGCCCACATCTGTAATTCCAGCTACTCAGGAGGCTGAGGCATGAGAATCACTTGAACCCAGGAGGCAGAGGTTGCAGTGAGCCGAGATTACACCACTGCACTCCAGTCTGGGCGACAAAGCGAGACTGCATCTCAAAAAATAATAAAAATTTTAAAAAAGAAAATATAAATCATATTAGGCAAGTGTTATAAATGAAAAGAAAGTAAAAAGTCAGCTTTAAATGATTTCTTATAAAGTGTTTTGTTTAATGGAAGAGTATGATTTTGTTTCTTTGGAAATAGTCCTAAATATTGATGAATACCTTTTGGAAGGTAAGAATATCATGTAATACTTTCTGTAGAATATTAGTCCACATATTCTGTTTCCTGTCTATCTCCACACCACTGAGCAACTCCCAGTGCAAACACACATTCTCACTCAGCATCAACACTACATAACAGTGAAGTAGGGTTTTTTGTAGAGAACATGTAGAAATTTGGAGAAAGGATTCATCAAGTATTGACAAAGACAGAAACTTAGTACTGCTAAGGAAATTTATGTTTTGGTCACTTAATATGATACTAATAACTTGTTTTAAATCTGGTTAACTACTGCATTATAATTTATTATATTCTATTCACAGGGCTTCATTATTTCAAAAATGTTGTGCTAGTGGGATCTCTACAGGATCGCTATGTTCCTTATCACTCTGCCCGCATTGAAATGTGTAAAACAGCTTTAAAGGACAAACAGTCAGGTAATGGAATAAAAGTATTTCAAAGAGTTATAGGTATTAATGAGCTCTTTCTGAAATTTTTCTTGTAGTCACTTTCTCTCTTATCTGTCACTCTTCTCTTTCCTATTACTTCCTTTCCACCCACTTATATTAACAGCTATCCTTCTTCCATTTCTCTTCCTTTCTTCTCACCTGCCACGTGAACTGCCTTTACCAATGAAGAAGTTCTTTCATCTAATTACAAATGCTTCTCCATTTTGCTGCCTCAGACGTAGTTCATACTTTGATTTCCTCTGAATTATTGGGACTGACAATTGCGGTCATCCTTGTCACATGTTCTGCTGTACCTCACTTTTACACAAAGGTGGCAGCAAGGATTTGCCCCTCTTTACCGATAGTAAATGATAAAGACTTTATTTATTTGTTCTTTTGCTATTTGTGAATAACAAAATAAATTTAAATTATAGCCATTTGGAGCCAGAAGGAAACTTGAGTCCTGTTTGCTCATTTTATAACTAAAGCCCAGAGATACTAAGTGGCTTAGCCAAAGTCAGTTAGTTAATTACAGACTTAGGTCAAGAACCTGGTCTCCAGCTGGGTGTGGTGGCTCCCGCCTGTAATCCCAGCACTTTGGGAGGCTGAAGCAGGCAGATCACCTGAGGTCAGGAGTTCAAGACCAGCCTGGCCAACATAGTGAAACCCCGTCTACTAAAAATATAAAAACTAGCCGGGCATGGTGGCAAGTAGCTGTAATCCCAGCTACTTGGGAGGCTGAGGCTGGAGAATAGCTTGAACCCAGGAGGTGGAGGTTGCAGTGAGCTGAGATTGTGCCATTGCACTGAAGCCTGGGAGACAAGAACAAAACTCTGTCTCATCTCCTACCTCTCATTATTGCCTCAAATCCGTTTTTGGAATGAGGCTGATTTTAAACTCTTAATTCTTTATTTTTCTACATTGTGATGGTGAACAGCTCCTTAAGGCAAGAACTCTCTTAAGCACATTTTTATTGGCAGTGCCTAACATGGTGCCTGGTACATGGTAAGTACTCCTTTATTGTACATTTGTGACATCAAAATAACCTTTTCTTAACTTCTGTTCTAGCAAAGGCTAGAGTCCACCTAAGGAAAAAATTCAGAAGAGGCTTAACCTTCAGATGAGTAGCTGAAACTAGATAAATGTCCCTTATCTTAACAGTAAGGTTCTGTGACATTGGGGAACAGGGGAAATCAAATGATGAAGACATGTTTAGACCTCTTCCCGTATTAACATATTTTTAAAATAGCATGGAACCACAAATCCAACCTGACTCACAATGAAAACTAAGAGGAGAGGTGGGAGTAAAAAGTTTTTGATGAGTATATATTAAGTCAGTCTTTCTCTTAAACACCTCTCTTCTCTATCTGATTGTGCTTCTGTGTACTTTTCCCTTCTTGTCATTCCTCAGGCCGCATCCTACCTGTCCTCTGAAGTTTAATATTTACCTCTCTAAAGCTCACAGATTCCATGGACACTGTTAGTACTCATTTACTAATATATAGTAGTGCATAAGCATTATGTTTTGCCCCTTAGAAGGCAGTTTATACATTTATGTGGATGCGTTCTCATCTTTATCTTTTATGTGCTTAGTATGACCTCAGTAAATCCATTGTAAGAATTAGCAAAACGTAGTTTGGGCGCAGTGGCTCATGCCTGTAATCCCAGCACTTTGGGAGGCTGAGGCAGGAGGCTCACCTGAGTCCAGGAGTCTGAGACTAGCCTAGGCAACATAGCAAGACCCCATGTCTACCAAAAATAAAACATTAGCTAGGCTAATTTAAACGGTGGTGCATGCCTGTGTGGTCTAGCTACTCAGGAGGGTTAAGATGGAAGGATCGCTTGAGCCTGTGATGTGGAGGCTGCAGTGAGTTGTGATCATGCCACTGCACTCCAGCCTGGGTAATATAGAGTGACACCCTGTCTCAAAACAAAACAAAAAAAATTAGCCAAAAATAAGGAGAGAGGAGCACAAGTACTAAATAAACCCGCAGACCAAACAAAAGATCCTGTTTGTTATTTGAGCCAAGCTCACGTTGTTCATCTGACTATAGGAGGTTGCTATTCTTTCTTAAAATAATTTGGAAGTTTTGACTGCCACAGAAACATTTTTAAAGTATTTGCTGTAGGCCAAGTTTATAATTTTGCCTTATCAAAATGTCTCACCGTGGCTGGCTTATTTTCATAATTGTTTAATGAGTTATAAGTGACTTAATGTTAAAAGAAAATTATTTCTTTGTTATAGGCATTGCTTTGAGTTAAAAATACCAAATTTCGGCTGGGCGCAGTGGCTCATGCCTGTAATCCCAGCACTTTAGGAGGCTGAGGTGGGCAGATTGCCTGCAGTCAGGAGTTCAAGACCAGCCTGACCAACATGGTGAAACCCTGACTCTATTAAAGATACAAACATTAACCAGGTGTGGTGGTACACACCTGTAATCCCAGCTGCAGAGGAGGCTGAGACAGGAGAATCGCTTGAACCTAGGAGGCAGAGGTTACAGTGAGCCGAGACCACGCCATTGCACTCTAGCCTGGGCAACAAGAGTGAAACTCCGTCTCAAAAAAAAAAAAAAAAAATTCAAATTTCAAGAATAATGTATAATAAATTTGTTATTTCCACTTGACTAGATAATGTGATTACTTATATTTTCTATAAACAGTCCCAAAAATGATAGTTGAAGGAAAATTAAACCTTTTTAAAAACAGCCATTTTTCTGCTTTATATGGAAATAATGTAACTAAATTTTATAACTTATCTAAAAATTGGCATAGGTTTTTTTTTTTTCAGTTACTTATGTGAACTAATTTTCCTTTTTTCTGTTGGTTCCACAGGGCAGATCTATTCCGAAATGATCCACAATTTGCTTCGCCCAGTTCTGCAAAGCAAGGACTGTAATTTGGTTCGCTACAATGTCATCAATGCATTGCCCAATACAGCTGATTCACTCATTGGGAGAGCTGCACATATAGCTGTTCTTGATTCGGAAATCTTTTTAGAGAAATTCTTTCTGGTTGCTGCCCTCAAATATTTCCAATAGTATAAAAGCATTGTTAGCGACTGGACAATTACCTCATTCAACAATGTTTCAAATAATGTATTATATTAAAATGTAGATGCTGATAAGTTCTAAGAAATATTTATACCTTTTTATATGGAAGATAATTTATATCATCCATGTTTAGTGCTTTTTACTTTCTAGGTAATGTGGCTGTGCAATATTTTTTAATTTTATCTTTTTACTTTTCTATTACTTTTTCATATATTTTGCTACCTAAGTATTTCAGTGAAACTTTAAGCCCATACCTATGTCTGATTGTTTATTATCGGCTTTCCACAATTCTTACATCAGACTACATTATATTAGAGACCATTATTGCTAGAATAGCGTGAGATTTAAAATTTTCTAATACTGGGGGTATTATTTAGTTAATTATAAATTTTACTTTTCACATTTTACTGTGTTTTAACTGGAAATAAAATTATGGCTGCTACAATATATTTTTTGAAATCAACTTCTGTAGTTCTAAAATACACCTTTATCATACAATCAAACCAGGTAGTTCATATATGACAGTGTCATAAAAGTTTTCTATAAAGTCATTACTGTTGCTTAAACATACGTCATGCCTATTAAAATATATTTTCTACTGGTGATTTCAACATTATTTCTCATACTGACTTTTATTACTGGAAATTTTCCTGTTCATGTTGGCAGCAGATAAAGATTTTTGAATGTTTGAATGCCCTCTGCCTTGATTTGGTTGGAATTTTTGCTAAATTGGTAATGTTGCTTGAACTTTATGACTACATTTTCTTTTAACTTTTTTCATGGACTTCCTTATATGTACATAATAATTAAATGTTGAAATTTATGAAATACTTTTATGAATTTAGATAATTTTTAAATATTGTTAAAATTTATTGAACTAAAAAGTAATGTAAATAAAATAATTCATGTTAAAAATGGAACAAAATAATTAACTTTACATGTTTGGTGATACAGATGCAAATGTTTTTGATATATGGAGATGTTGAGTCTTTTGACTTTACTAAAGGTGCTGAATAGCATTAAATTCACTATTTTCCTCCTCTGTTTTACTTGTGAAAATAAAAATGCACTAAGGTTGGGTATAAGTTCTGTTTGCACTCACTAATTGTGACAGACAGAGGTTTTTGTAAGTATTTATTGTACAATTGATGCATGTTTATTTTTAGCGTTGTGTTATTGCCTCTGGTGTTAATAAATGAACAAATGGCTATCTGGAGGAACAGCTACAACACTTGTAATCCTTTGCTTATTCTCAGAATACTAGAGGTATATATATTTTATTTATAAGATAGACCAGCCTAATTGTATAACTTATAGCCTTTGTATTTTTGTAATTTACATATTTTGTATATATTAAGTATTATAGTTAAAATAATTTTGATTGCTATTGATAATTATTTACTTTTTAGAAAGTACTCAAAATTTTCATAAACTAATATCCCAAGTGCATTATAACTAGAAAATGTAAATATATTAATTAGCCACCACATATTTTTGCCAAGCACATTTTTTATATTCCTGTATCTTGGCTCTGAGTTTGAAATGTGCATATTCTAAGTTTGGATAATTTTCAGGTTTATCAAATGACTCGTTCTTAATCATATAAATAGTATTTGTAGTGGAGATTGCTCTTACCATAGTTGGTTGATTAGTTTTTGGTTATTTTAATACAGTTTTAAAAGCACATTTGTGTTCATGGTTTAAAATCTAACAAATTTAACTTATTTGATTTATCTGGGAAACCATCACACACTATTCACTTCCAAATTCAGACTGTGGGAGATGGGGTGCAGTTCTAGGGGAGAGAGGAAACGATTATCTGAAGTGGTATTACTGACTCTTACTTTAGAGAATCAATCTCATTGAAGTATACCAGTAAGAGTTCTTGGTTGCAAACAACAACAAAAAAATTATAATCAACCTAAGCAGAAAAATAATTTATTGGAAGAGGATCAGGTAGCACAGAATTGATGGAAGGGCTGGAGAGCCAGGTTTGGAAAACAAATAGAAGCCAAAGGAAAGTAGATGACCAAAATCATAGCCAAGTTCTGATAACCTCAAAAAGACCTAAACGACTGTATTCTTCTCTAGCCAGGATGACCCTGAAAACTGGATTTCAAGTACTTGTTTTATTACTTCAGATTCAAAGCGTAGTAGAATATCCAGCTGACCAAGTTTAAGTCTTGTGCCAGTGCTTGGGCTGTCAGGCATCAAAGACAGCAGGTGTATCTGACCTTGTTAGTTTCCACAGTAGAAAATAGGACCCTTGATTCTACCAAGGTTAACCAAACATAGGAAATTGGTTTGATGACAGCACCAAATATAAACACATCAGGTGTAATGTAGTCCATCTTTTTTCTTCCCAACATCTGCAAGCATAATTCTCTCTCCATATGTACACATTGAAAATTCATCTTTCTGACATAGTACTACTATCCCTCATCCAGTTTTAAGTCCAGGACCTCAGTGTGATGTTCTCTGATTCTGTAATAATCTCATCTCAATAGTTTGCAACTCATAAACAAAATTGTGACCTAACCCCCACCCCTATACATCATAACAGTATAAGAGAGGAAAGAACCTGAGTGTGGTGGCTTATGACTGTAATCCCAGCACTTTGGGAGGCTGAGGTGAGAGGATCACTTGAGCTAGGAATTCAAGACCAGCCTGGGCAACATAACAAGACCCTATCTCTACAAAATAATTTAACTGAGCCTGGTGGCATGCACCTGTAGTCCCAGCTACTTGGAAGACTGAGGTGGGTGGATCACTTGAGTCCAGGAGTTCCAGGCTGCAGTGAGTTACTGCACTACAGCCTGGGTGACAGGGAGACCCCCAACTAAAATATATATATACATATGAAATAAGAAAATTTTATAGACATGCATGAGCCACTGAGGAAGAAAATAGAACAGTTCTTTGCAAGGGTCCATGGTAAGAATTACCTGGACTACTTTAAAAATACACATTCCAGGACCTTATTACAGACCAACTGAATGAAAATTTTCAGGATAGTGTAAAAGCAGCATCATGTTTCATGTCCCAAATTTCTCTAATAACACATCGCAAATACAGTACTCAGTCCTGTCACTGGTCGTGAATCTGGATGGTTATGACTTCTCACCACTGCCAACTATTTTCTGTTTTCTTTGTGTTCAACCAGCACCTCTGCTGATCAGATTTATGTATCCAGTGGATGACAGAGGCTCTGAGGTGTGCGTGGTCTTGCCGATATATGGTTGTAATCGTCTTATATGTAACTTTTACCATTCAGCATGGTATTTTTTAAAATAAAATATAAAACCATGGTATTGCGAGGAGGTATTCCAGGAGACCCCCTGACTTCTGGTTATACTCTTCTCCCTACTCTCTTTTCTCCATGGTCATCAGGGACAATCACTCCAGCTAGCATCATCACCACTTTCTCTAACCTTACCTAGAGGAATGAGTTCAAAATGGCTGAGTGGCAATTCCAGCTGGGCACAAAAATTGCTATGCCAACAGAACCTGGAGTCACAGAGATGGCTGGCAAGCGCAGTAAAGGGTCTGAGATTTTATCCTACTTGCAAGGTTGCAGGCTAGGTTGCTGCAGTTTCATGGATGCTGACAGGATACTCCTGGGCAAAAGACAAAACAGCTTTATTACAGCAAAATAGAAGCCAGAGTGTTCGCATATTTGCATCAGTTCCTGTAGCCCAATTCCCACAGTGTGATGCAGAGGGCCAGATGACGTATATGCACATTGGGGGTTGCATTACAGAAGAATCCAGGATCAAGAATCAAGCGGTTTTTAAACAAACAACAAACAAGCTAGTCTCTCTCCCCCAGGTAGCAGCAGTTAAATGGTGGTAATGCCGTGACTGCCTTGACCTACTTAGGTGCCTATATGACTAGCTACAGAAACTGCTTAGTATCAGGAGATGGATAAGACTTGCAGTCTGGCACACTCAGTAATAATATATAGGCATGTTCAGGGGCCATGGGAGCTTGTCTCTCCTCTCCCACAATGGAAAGCAAAATATATCAGTGAGTCAAACGCAATAGCAAGAAGTCAGACCCTTTTCTACTCTTTGATCTCTGTTATTCTGTCAACAGAAGAGATATCACCAAATACCGTTAATTCATTTGGAAAATATGACAAATCCTTTAGGGCAGTATCCCAAAGTGTATTTTCTCACCTGGTTCCAAAACAACCTTCAATAAGGTTGTCTGTCATTTCATAAAATCGGTTGCTTTTGGATGATGGAATACATAAGACTGTGAATCCCGCAGGCATTAGTCCCCTGCTTTACATCTTTCACGGGAAAATGAGTTCTTCGGTAAGAAGCAATGTTGTGTAGGATATTGTATTAAACATGGAGTAGTGTGTTAAGGTATTCAGTAAGTCCACAGGTGGAGTATATAGCAAGCATAAATCAAGGAAAGCACTCTAAATGCAGAATAATTGTCTGTTCCTGTAAGAATAAATTTATTCCTGTAAGAATAAATCCTCCTTCATAACAGTAGGATTTCATTGTCAGACCTGCCACCCAGGCCACATAAAAGTATATCAGGGGATCAAGTTGGTCACTGCAGTTGGTAAGTAGTGGTAGTAGCCAAGCAGTCATGACAGAAGAAAGACGGTGTTAAAAGTACATGTATGTCTCTATTCTTGCCACCATGGCTACCTTGTTACTGAGTCCACAGCTGTTGTGGGGGAAGGAGGCTGAGTGATGTCCACAGAATGGGTCACTGTTGCAGCCCCTGTGTAATCCCCTTTTGAGAGTAGGCTGGACCTAATAATAGGATACAGTAGAAGTGGTGGGATGTCACTACGGAGATGAGATTACAGAAGGTCAGAGCATCCATTTTGAGGGGTCTTCCTTGCTCTTTAGTTCATTTGTCCTGTGGAAAGCCAGCTGCCATGTTGCAAGATAGCCTTTGGAGAAGCCCACTTAACAAATAACTGAGAAAGTTTCCAGTCCAAAGTCCACAAGGAACCAAATCTTGCCAATAATCATGTGAACGAGCTTGGAAGCAGATACTCCCTTAGTTGTGCATTTATATGAGACTGGGACTCCAGCCAACAGCTCGGCCGCAACCTCATTTAGGACCCGGAACCACAGTCACTCTGGCTTCTAGATTCCTGATCCACAAAAACTGTCAGAGAATAACTGTTTATTGTTTTAAGCCAGTAAATTTTGGGATAATTTGTGAGGCAGCAATAGATAACTAAAATAATAATCTTGTTCTGATTAAGAGCCTTTCTGCAATGGAAGCCTTTTTTGTTGTTGTTGTTTTTTAACATTCAATAGAACCCAAATGTTTTCATACTCTGGGGCTACTTTGAGAGGCCCTATTCCAAAGACCTAGTCCAAAACGTTTACATTCCCAGTTTCTAGCCACTTGACAAACCAGTCACTGCCTATGAAATGATGTAAATTTTTATCTCAAGCTGTATCTCTTTTTAGGCAAAGCATACAAGACAAGATAAACTAAATTCTGGCCAGGCGCGGTGGCTCACACTGTAATCCCAGCACTTTGGGAAGCTGAGAGGGGTGGATCCCTTGAGACCAGGAGTTCGAAACCAGCCTAGTCAACATGGCGAAATACCGTCTCTACTAAAAATAGAAAAATCAGCCAGGTGTGGTGACGCAGGCCTGTAAAAACATAAAATAAATAAGCTAAGTTATGCATGCTGGAAATAATTTTTTTCCCCTCTGCTGTTCCTTCAGGGCCTCTGTTAAGTGAGGCTCTAAATATGAAAAGCAGTCCGTTGCCAGCTGGGCCAGTTTATTAAGCAAAGCCATCATCCAACTTTGAGTTTTTCCCTCAGTCAACTAGCCACAAGGAATTCATCATTAAACTGTAGCTATAAGCTAAAGGTCAAAAGCATGACCTTAGGACTGTGAGCTCCCTACAAATGAAAACTGTTTCGGTTTTGACTCTGGCCCAGTTCTGTGTATCTCACTTTCTCTCTTCTTTCTTTTTGTTTTTTTGAGATGGGAGTCTTGCTCTGTCTCCAGGGCTGGCGTGCAGTGGCAGGTTCTCTGCTCACTGCAATCTCCGCCTTCCGGGTTCAAGCGATTCTTCTACCTCAGCCTCCCGAGTAGATGGGATTACAGGAATGCGCCACCACCCCCGGCTAATTTTTGTATTTTTAGTAGAGACGGGGTTTTGCCTTGTTGGCCAGGCTGGTCTCGAACTTCTGACCTCAGGTGATCCACCCGCCTAGGCCTCCAAAAGT